AAAACAAAAAAAGCAGGAACACACAAGAAATAAATCGTGACACACTGTAATTCTCATATGAATGATGAGAGTTAACAAATAAAAACAACAAACAGGACAGGCAGATCATACCTTTAGGGTCCACTTCACGAGAAATCTTAATTGCATCTGATGTTGCAAGATCTTGGTTGGCAGGAGAAATTGCCAAGATAATACAGTTCGGCTGACAACAATCATTTAGGGAATTATATCAGCACACTAACCTCTAAAATTAATCTGGACAAAACTAATCTGAACATTATTTAAACTCGTGAAAGCGAAAGGAAGGCCAGAATTTCAGCAAGACAATGATTTCTCGTATGTCTCGTTTTCTTCATCAAAAGGTTTAAATCATGCGGCTGGAGAATTCTTCTAATAATTTCATCCCTACATTCTATGACAGGAATGACTGAGATCATAACATACCTTCTCAATATAAGACCGAACCATGTTCTCAATATCCATCACAATGCTATCTGGCTGACCCTCTACAGATAAACCAGGAGATCAATCATTTAACTTTCTCGAAAGTATATTAGGATAGTAATGGTAGCTAGTGAGGATAAATAGGAAAAATACATAAATAGTGAAATCTATAAACTCACCAACAGCCACTTTTGTAAGTCCGGGAAGATCAACTAACGTCAAATTTACAACTGCAATAAAAAACTAATGCAAATTACCTGCTGCTCTAGAACCAATAAAAGAGAACATAAAGTTGCATCACACTCATTTACTATTCAAGTTGACACCCAAAATTTGAACCCACAGACTTTAACAGCAAAATTAAAATGGCCTCAAGATCAATTGTTCACTCACCATTAGGCGAATATATACTAAGATATATTGGGACTGTAGAAATTTGCTTAGTACGTCCTGTCTCTCTATCAGTTTCATCAGATATTTCCTTCCGCACGGCAGCTGCAAAAATTAAAGCAGAGGTTTAGCAAACAAAATTGAAATGAATGGCATTCACTTGAAAGGAATTCATGTATGTATAGAGTGACAGCAAATGAAATGAAGCGATTGGCGTAAAACTGCTAGTCAAAGCTGTTATGCTTTATTACTCACGTACCATGATAGAATAGTTGACAAAATATGCTTACCAAAATCAGTAAATCTTTTCCTCGGGAGATGTCCGAATTCTGCATATTCTCTACCTTCATCAATCCGATGAAGCTGCAGAACAAGTGGACGCCGAGTGACAATACCTATGTCATAGAAGGAACAAACTTTAAGAGTTCACAACCACAAGATGATGTAAGGGATGTGATTAGAAGACTATGAACAAGAGACTTTCAAGAAAGGCGAACAGCCATTACCAGATCCACGAGGTAAAAAGTCCTTGCCAACAACACTTTCAAGTACTGAGGATTTCCCCGAGCTCTACAAATCACAAATGTTAAGATCAATAACTGAAAGAAGCTCACAATGAAATGATGAAAGGTGTAAGAAAATGCAATTCATGGTAGTGACAAATGACTGCAATTCATCATAGGACAGTACATGGACATCAGAAAGGCAGCTAATACTTAGAAGAGCCAAATGGCAGTTTTGTAGGCCAAATATTGGTAAACATCAACAATCCCACTGTGGTTTGACAACATTACATCTGCATCGACACTGGATATCGCGTTAACTATAAGTTTATATACTCATTTTACATACATCCAGGAAAAAATCCTAAACATAACTCTTTAAAAGTTGGCCGTAATAGTTTAACCAGACAGCATAGCTCAAAATAGAAACACAATTGAGAAGACAATATCTTATAAGGCAATTTACAGACAACAATTCCAAATCCACAGATAACCACCGCGTGAAATGACCGAACTAAGAAAGTTTAGCCAATGATCGACGGAAAGGATAAAACAACTAAAAATTCCCCAGCTCCGCTAGATCAGCATCACACGATATATTCAGTAGAAGCTAACATAAACAAGAAGGGAAAAGTAGGACAAGGCAAGTAAAGAAGAAGAAAGAAAGCAGACCTGACCACCGACAACGGCGATGGAAGGCAAAGCGTCCCAGAGAGTGGGCAAAGCGTTCTCTTCGCCGTGATCTCCGAGCGCCGTGCACGCTCGCTGCAACCGGTTCACGAGTGATATGAGGTTCTCCATAACCCTAACTCAGCTCCGAGTCAATGATCCTCTAGTTGACTCAGGAACAGCTGCACTTCACCACGAACAGAACTCGCGTATGAACGAACGAGTAAGCACTAACCAAGGTGTGGAGAGAGAGAGAGAGAGAGAGAGTAGATGAAATTGAATTTGAAACGAACGAATTTGGTGAATGTAAACGATGTCGTCGGTGGGTGACGATTGTTTCCTATAGGCCTGCCTCTTGACGTGTCCAAATGGCGAGCCGGGTCGTGCCTGGCGGGTCTCCGGGCCACAATACACGGGCCCAAGCCGGTTTCGGGCCTTGTTTTTTTAAGAATAAAGTGAACTCTTTTAAAAATAAAACAACGTTTACAAATCATAAGATTATTTAAGTTGACGGCCCTTTTACTAGTTGAGCTTGAACATAAAAAGGAACGGTCAACAATTCCAGCTTCCAACAATTAAATGTCTAAATATCTATTATTATGTATAAAAACTATAACAATTAAGTGGATGCAATTCAGAAAGCATGAATTTAACATGGTTAGTATACTGCTTCTCATTTACATTTCACCCGCAGTTGCTATAGTTATTCATAATTGAAAATAAAAATTTAGCAGATGAAAGGGGTATAGGTATAACAAATGTCCACTATTTCGAAAATAAATCATGAGCTTGAAAAGTATGTGCTCAATATTCGGGAGAATCTTCCCAAAATGATTCGCTCTATCGGACACGAATCGACGCCGTTTCTTTTTAGCGTGCAACGTGACGGGAACAATCATTCTACTCTTTGGATCCTTGCCATCGATTTAATTAGCTCCAACACATTTAAGAAGTTCATCATATTAAATCAAAGCAGTAACATCAATTACGCCAATGATGTCATGCTCATAGTCTCCATTATGCATCATGTTGTCAACTCTCTTATACGTCCACGCCAATGAATTTATCTTGATTATTTGAGTGACTTGAGACTTTTTTTTTTTTTTTCTAAATCACTCTTAATGCTAGAGGTTTGTTTTTTGCTTTTACGTGAATTTTAGAGTAATTTATGTGCCTATTTCCTTGTAGTTTAATATATTATTTATTCATTTATCTAATTTTATTAATCTATGATGGAGGTATTTTAAGTTTTAATAGTATAGTGGGTCGAAATAATTATTGGAGTCGAAAACGACGTGAAACGGGCATAGACGGAGTGCGATCCTTGCAGAAATAAGGACATTCCTTAACCTTTTGAAGACATTTTTCACATTAATGCAAGGGCTTATTATTAAAGTAAAAAACATTAATTTTTGTTTCCATATTTTACGCCCTTCAAATATCTTTTTTGTTCACTCCGGGCGATTTTCATTTATTTTATTTTTGTTTTTCGTTTTCTTTATGTTTATAAATAACCTCATATTATGTCAGTTCATTTCCTTATTCCCCTTCATAGAGGAATTGTCCCTTTTAGCACAGATAAAAAAAAAAACTAATTTGTTCGTAGATGTGCTTACATTTTCATTCAACTAATAATGAAGCAGAATACAAAGCCCTTATTGTTGGACTAGATATGGCGAGATCTGTGGGTCTACTACATTCGGAGATTTTTAATTACTCCTTGTTGATCGTTAATCACCTTAATGGAGAATTTGAAGTTAAAAAACCTCGGCTAGCCCTATTTCTTTAAAAACCTCGGCTAACCCTATTTCGACTTATCCAGAAAGAAGCTCTGGCATTTTCATGATGATCTTAAACATATCCCTCAGAGTGAAAACACTTAAATAGATGCACCGGCCCTCCTTTCTTCTAGTACCATGTCGAACATGATACCCGATCGACCCTTGATGTCATGTCCATAGCAAGAACTGAATGATCTGAGAAAAGTACCAATTGGATGACCCCAATATGCAATTATCATGAAAATGATGTTCTACCAGACAATTGTGCCAAAGCACGACCCATTCGTACTTGCGCTGCCCAATTCACAATTGTCCAAGAAGTTCTTTACAAGCGAGGATATTCCCAACCCCTACTCAAATGCATTCGCAATGAGGAAGCCTCATATATTTTTCAAGAAGTCCATGAATGGCTCTATTAGCCTACTTTAAATAAAAATGCACTTGAAATGGTACAAAAGTGCAATAGCTGTCAGTTTGACAGACCAACCAATCCCTTACATCTGTACTCAGTTCTGTTGGGGCTTAGTTAGAAACGTCGAATTTATGTAAGTCACGGACTATCTACGAAGTAAACCCTAAGCGCAACAGAACTAGAAACTAGGGTTCAACGCGTACCCGTTCAAATTTTTTGCTCACTCTGAGACGTTTTTATTTTTTTCATCGTGCCTCGCATCGTCTTAGACTTCGCACCATGGTCACTGGTTGATCGACATCGCCGAAGGGTCGCCTGAATGTCACCGGACTACTGGTGGTAGCCGGTGCGCGATACTGTGTGCTGGTGTCGGGTGTGCTCGTGTTGTGCGCGCTGCACACGCTGTTGGTGGCATGGGGTTGTTTGTGTACGTCCTAGGTCTCCTGGAACACGGGCAAGGGCCCTGCACTGTGCCTGCATGATGAGGAAATTGGGGACACCGGGTTGAGCATGCAGTACATGCCACACCAGCCTATCTCCTGACAAGATCGCATGAGCACGTTGGGAAGCTTCTATACCCTACGCAAGAATCTCGTGCGCGGGTTGCGTCTCCTGCAAGTAAATCGCACGCCCGCCTGCACACTGCTCGAACGCACAACTCGCGCGTCACGCGCAGGCAGCACCTGGCCCTGCGCGCGGCCGCGTCTGTGCGTGGGCGTATCCAGGGACCTGCGATCTGCCTGTAGCAGGCTACGCCTGGTCAGGCGTTGCGGCCCACTGGCCACCAGTTGTCTCTCCGCCTTGGCCAACCGCTTCTAGATCTTTGTCAGAACTTCATGGGATGTCTTCGGTCGTCATCGAATGATCGTGGGTGGCTTCGGGATGATTCTGGGATTGAATATATATATATATATATATTTATTTGCTCGGTCTACCTTGGGTGTTTTGTTGTATAACCCATCATCTTCTCTGTTCAACTTGGTAGGCGACGATCTTGGAGATATTTTGATTGGAATTCTCTAAAGAGTGGTGGCTATACCTAGGGTGTTAGGTTAGGTGTGTGGCTCTCTTAAATCCCAAGAGAGAGCCTAGAAAATGTTAAATTGGGCTCCCAAATATTGGTCCAACTGTGGGCCAAGCCCACTCCGGTCATATATGAATAAAACAGTCATTTTACTAAAGTAATATTATTGAACTCCTAATTTAACTCCCAAATTACGATTTGAGCTCCAATTCATAATTACTCGAATTACCTCCCCATGTTTAAGATATAATGTCCATTAAATAATTAAATTACTTACATTCAAATTAATTGATCTCATGTGTCAAAGCTAGCACCACTCAAATCATTATTATTATGTCGGAACTTAATCTACCTGCAGGGTTTAACATAATAATCCTCTTGAGCTCACTGCGGGTACATCATCAAGCTAAAACACATGGTGGCCGTAAATATTTTAACTACAATGCATCCATATATTTTGGGTTCGAGGTTCATTGCATATTGGGAATTGGGTTAGGGGCTGTTAGTAGAAATATTTTGAGCCTCTCGTGCTTAGTTAAGGCTTTATTAAATGAAAAAGGCACGGCCAGGGGGAGAGGACAACGAGGGTCAAAAGGAGGGGAATCCGATTTGGGTTTGGGCTCAAAATTAGATTTTGATGCTAGGGAATTGTGTTTGAAAATTAAACAAATCTTGAGATTAGTTGCAATTTCAGAAACTTATGAGTTATTGTAATTTGATCTTTTAGGCCAATCCATAATTTATCTAAAGTTTGAATAACTTCACTCTGACCCTTGGCTTTTGTATTATTTAATTAGAGCATATTTAGTTTATTTCTTTTGCATATTTCGGCAATACAAAATGCATATTTAGTTTCATACATAATGCATACTTAGTTGAGAACATAAAGACAATAGAAGGCTCCAGTATATTGCTATCAGTTTCATATTTTGACAACACATTTAGTTCATGCACAATGCGATTTAGTTCACACGTAGTGCATATTTAGTTCATAAGCAAAGCATACTTAGTAATATTATTGTTGCATATTTAGTTGATAAAAAATACATATGTAATTCATACAAAATGCATATTTAGATCATATCAACTACAATTTTGAGTGCTCATTTACTTCATACACAATGCATATTTGGTTCATAAAAAAAATGCACATTTAGTATACCTATTTAGTTTCATATCAACTGCATATTTTGAGTACATATTTACTTTATAAACAGTGCATATTTAGTTCACACGTATTGCATACTACATCCAACGGTCAACATCGGAAGTTAATCGTCAATGGTCAACGATCCAATGGTCAAATTAATATTTAAATAATTAAAATAATATCGATCACACATCTTATTCCATATTTAGGGCATGTTTTGGTACAAATATATACGCTCAAAATGGGATTTTGTTTGTTGTTTTAGAGAAAAAAAAATTAAAATTATGTGAGTGGATGAATAGTGAATTAAAGTTGATGTGATGTGTAAGAATGATTTAAGTAATATTTATTAAATTATATTGATAAGAATAGTAGAGCTGGATTAAAGTTAAGATAGATTTTGAAAATGAATTGAATTTATTTATAAACAAATACATCCTTAGGGCATGCTTGTTTCCAAATTAATCCGCTCAAAATGAGTTTTTTTTGGAGAAAATTGCACATTATACCATGCCTTTCATTTTTAATTATATAAATGCAATCCAATTACAAATAATAGCAAATATACAATATACAACATTCATAATTGCAAATTTATTAGAAACTTAAAAATTGATTAATTTATAAAAGCTGCCTTAATAAACTCGTAATTAAAGGTGCCTTATCACCTTCCAAAACACCCCCGAGGAAATTGGTAAGAAAATCTCATATTTCTCTCTTTCTCTCACTCTATTCTTTGTCTTTTTCTTCTTCTTCTTCTTCTTCTTCTTCTTCTTCTTCTTCTTCTCTCTCTGTCTCTCTCTCTATCTCTATCTCTTCTTCTTCTTCTTCTTCTTCTTCTTCTTCTTCTTCTTCTTCTTCTTCTTCTTCTTCTTCTTC